TATGATTAGATTTGAATTTCAAATAGGTAAAAAATAAATTTTTATATGCATCTGAAAATTACTAATTCATTTCACACCTAATTTTAAACCTGAATAATATTATATTATATTATATTATATATATATTAAAAAATAATAAACTATCCCAAACTTACTCTGGAGCATCGAATTATAAAAAAGACATCTTAAACCAATTGAGTCTAACAAATTGAAGCTCACTCTACTCAAATAACCTTTTAGATTGGCCCGAAACCTCCTTGACTCATCTCTTTAGATTTTTTTTGGGAACATATCAATCAAGGATTACTAGAGAAATTTTATATCAATAAAAGACTAATGGATTTTAAATTTTCACAATATTCCTTTAGTCCTCAGATGAAATTATTTTTTTTTTGAAATGACTGAATTGCTCTTAAAGATTATTTTTTTAAACAAAAAAGCCACTCCTATTGTCACTGGTGCCAGCCACTAAACCTCCACTGGAGACCCTTCTAGAGCTAAGATCGCTGAAGCCTTTCTATCGACAAGATTACCAATAGCCATTCACTAGAATTCCAATATTAATGATAGTTTTATTTAAGAATAATTGGTAAAGATGGCCAAGGGAGGGCTTGACCCATGACCTCTTGACCACCTAAAAAGTTTGGTAGCCTATTTAATTATATATGGCAAAAAAATAAGTAATAAACTAAGCTTTTAAACTACTTTCATATTATAACATAATGTTATGTTGTTAATTTCTAAAAGAAATTTGTTATTTTACTAATATTACTTATTAATATAACAATTACAAATTAAGAGTTTTAAAATTTCGTGCATTTTGTTTATTAAAAGTCTGAATATATTGCTATTAATTATGAATAAGTTATTGTCAAAATTTAAATAGATACTTATTAATAAGAGACTATCACATACAAATAAGCACATCCTAACAATTTTTCTAACTTGTTAAAACTCAAATAAATTATTATTAATTTTGAATGAGTTGTTAAAATCTCAATGGATACCTATTGATGAATTACTAACACTTAGACAATTAAACAACTCCTATTTGTTTTTTATAATTTATTAAACTTTAAATAGATTGTTGTTAACTTTAAATGAGTTGGTATTAAAACTTAAATAAATACTTATTGATGAAGAACTAACATATATAATTGTGCCCATTCTATATATTTTTCTAACTTGTTAAAACTCGAATGGATTATTATTAATTTTAAATGTGTTGTTATTAAAACTTGAATGGATACTTGATATTGATTATTGAAAGCGCATGTCTAATTGGATTGGATCTAAAAACTCTTATTTTAAAATGGGTAAGCATATGATATCCTATGTTATGAGATGACGCAAAAAAATTCAAAAACTATCAAAATCGTTACATCCGACGCCTGCCATCTATTTCTCACAAACATCTGATTATTTTTAAACTTATGGGACCTTCCATGTCTTAAGGCTTGGTTGCTTCACACACACTCTCTCTAACTGCTTCTTCCCCACTTTTGTCTACTTCACTCTCTCTCTCCAACATATCCGTCTGCTTCACTCTCACTCTCTCTTTCTCCCTCTACTTTCTTCATCCTCACAATAAAGGCAGCTTCAGTGCTAAAGTACTCTCTAGGGTTGGCTCGCCAGAGGGACCGTGCCCAAGTCACTTCTCTCTATGCCGGCACCACGCTTCTCACTCTCTGTTTAAGCTCTCTCAAAAGAGCCTGCCTTAAGTCTCAATCTTATGGCCACCACATTCGCATGATGTCGTCTTTGTCCCATCCTCTCCATTATAGTGCCCTTTGGCTATACTTACAATGTCTCCCTCAACAGGCTCCTTACATCACCCCTTCCTCCCTTCCTCCATCCCTATCAACCCTATCTTTCTAATGCTCTCGTCACCACTTTGAAACAAGCTCATACTCACCATGGAAGAGGATGCATCAAGTAGCAGCAGCAACCACTTTTGACTCTCATTAAGGCTGAGTTTGAACAACTTATAATATTTATCCTTAATGACACTAATGTTAGCAAGGTCATGTGAGAAGCTAGCTTTTCTAGTGTTGCTGTTAAGAACAATCGTGATGACTCTTCACCCTCCTTTGTTTTCCAGTGTTATAATAGCCCTAAAGCAAGAAGATGCACGTGCTCCCCTTATAATTTCTAAGCTACTTCACTCTCTCTCTCTCTCTTTATTACACACACACACTGCATATGCATAATGTAAGTGAGAGATCTCGAGAAGTGTAATGGGAAAAAATTAACAGAGCTTTTCCTCTTTTTTTAGCTATGAGAAATTAACAGAGCATGTTTTAACATTCGATTTCCCTCTCATCCTATCTCTGACCTTTAGTGGGTCCCAATTAAATTCCCACATCCAAATATCCCAACTCGCTTCCCAGGTCAACTCAGCTTCTATTTCTCTTCCTTGATCACCTATTGCACATACTCCCGTAGTCTCACTGCACACACAAAATAATTGCCCCTATAACCCTATTTTTGGTGATCACTCATACAAGTGTATAAAATCATAGTAATAAATTACTTGAAATATTTTAGGTGTCAAACCTATAGAAAAGTTACATTTTTATTAATTTAAATAATTAATATTTCAAGAAAAATAGATAAAATGGATAATTTTGATGAAAATATAAGGAATAAGAATAAATCAAGAAAAAAATGATGATGAAAACACAATCACTTAAAGCATTGGGGTTTAGGATTCACCCTATAGATTGTTAGTTTCTACCTTTTGAGTTGACTCTGATCAATTATAGTAACAACAATTCCTAAAATGTTCTAATATTCTTTCAAATTATTAGTCTCTTTTTAATTAGCGTTGAATTTGTTCTTACAATACGCAAGCAACTAATTAAATTGTGAAACTATAGTTTAAGTCACCAAAAATTTTTAGAACTATCCTTAGCCTAGTTATTTATGTTTATTTTTCTAAATTTAGGTTCTCTCTTTACCTTTCAGTCCATCAAGATTATCCGCAGATTTGATTAAATGGTGGCTAGTTATTAAATCAATATAAAGAACAAAAGAAATAAATATAATTGAAAAAAGCAAAAATATTCATGAGTATAAATGCAAATAGTCAAAACAAACAAAATAGAAAACCAGTTCTTCAATTGGGCTACATCCCTACCCCAACTGCGTAATTTAAAAATACATAATAAAATCATATAACACCGTTCTAAAATCTTCAATCATGAAAAATGATCACAAAGAAAATTAAAGAGTAGAAAAGAAATAATTATAAATTGTAGAACTCCTCAACGGTCTCACTTTCAACCTTCAAAATACACGAGCTCCAAATATCTCAAAAAAAATTCTTGAAATATTCAGATAAGTAATTGCATGAATCTTCTTTTGATGGAGGAAGTATTTATAGTTAAAGTAGAAGTTTCTCCTTTTGTTCCTTGTCAATGTAGGACTCTAATATATATATATATATAATATATATATATATATATAATATATAATATATATATATATATATATTTCTCTTTTCCTTCTTTCCTTCTATTTGGCTTATTCTTTTTCTCTACAAAATATAAAGATAAAAAGATATGAGTAAATTTTATATTAAAATTCTTTTTTATTTTATAATTAAGTGATGAGGAAAAAATATATAAATATCAATTAAATATATGTATGAAATCTTAATAAATATAATTAAATTCAAACTAAAATCTATACCTATTTAATTATAAAATATGCACTTATTACTTGGTTGAGGAGGAGGAGGAGGGGAGGAAATAATGTGAGAGAGAGAGAGAGAGAGAGAGAGAGAGTTGAGATGTGGATTGAGAGAGGGAGAGACAGTGTGTTAGAGGAAAGGGGCCGATGGTAAATGAAAGGGGAAGGGAAGAGTCAGAGAAGTGAATGTTTATTGGAGAATAAATGAATGTGGGTCATAGCCAAGCTTGAATGGATGAATGTTTGGGAGCCCTCTTTTATTTTTTATCTTTGAATTTAATTTATTATTATAATAATATGTATTGATATTATAAAGCATAAATTAAAATGTTGTAGAATTTAAAATTTTTAATACAAATCCTAATTTTAAAGTGTGTGTATCAAAATTTAGATTTAATTTAACATTTAAATTTAATTTAAAGATATGAAATATCACAATTTTTTAGGTTAAAATAAATACAGGTTTTAATGGGTAGTTTGATGAGCTTATTTTTTAAGGGTTTAAAAAGGTTAAACATAAAAGTTTTTTATTCTAAAATACCTCACTTTTTAAAACTTGAGTCTGAAGGAAGCTCAAATGAGTAGTCCAATGTGCTTGACCCCTGTTTAGAAGAAGCAAATGATAGTTAAAATAGGAAGGAAAGGAGTTGAAGACGTTGAGATTTGAGAATGTTGCTTACTAACATGCAAATAGATGCCCAACTAGCTAGCTTTGGAGATTGCTAACTTGTCATGGAAGGCGGCTCTATCAAAAGATGCCTTGTAATGAAGGCTAGTTTCACTGTCTGAGTTAGGAAGTCGTCGCTGAAACTTGAAGCAAGTTGCTGTGGATGCGAGGCAAATAGGGAACTCAAAACGGCAACTGCGATGGATGACGTTGCGTTGATATTTTCAAAACAAGAGCGTCTTGGAATAGTTCCTTGGAGGGCTTTACCCAGACGCGTCCTCATTGACCATATATGGATTATGGTCGACGCACATACAGCCTGCCTGCTTGCCTCTTTCACATGACTTTTCCCAAACCATAACACTTGCACATGTATCAGCATTGCCCGTTAAAACAATAGAGATAGGCCCAAGATATTGAGTATGGCACGGTGGTTTGAGTCGAATGGGTGTTTGTTAATTTTTTTTTTTCCCTATTCAACTACACAATTGATATTGTTTGTTAATTTTATTTGTATGCCATGTGTGGAAGCATGGAGTTTCGGGCCTAGAGCCTCGCTGGAGAAGGATTCCTTTCACATTTAATTTTCATTGAATCTGGGAAAATCTCTCTCATCTCTCTATATATATACACGAACACAATCACACGTGCATATATAAATGTAGCAAATAGGATTTTTCTCTCTCTCTCACACAAACTCTCTCTCTCCTTCTCCCTCTCCCCATTTTATCGCAGAACAGCGAAAAAGGTTTGTTCCTCATTTTCGCCAAAAAGCTGATATTTCATTGGCTGCTCTCTACTCGATTATCACTCTGTATCTTCTCACAGCACCAAAAAGTTCTCTTCATGGTTTGTCTCTTCGTTCTCAGATTCCAGTCCCATCATTATGGATCTAATTAATTTCTCTTCTATTATCCTCTCACCCGTCTTCCTTTTTACTTTCCGATGTTGCAGGCCAACGGCGTAGCAGAAATCGAATACCAAGAGGTACCACAAATATAAACTTTCTCTCACACTCACAAATTAGGGCCTCTTTAATGTTGTTTCATTATTTATAAATATATATTGTGAATTGTGTTGGCAGAAGTATATAGAGAACAGTCGTGGAATGAAGCTGATGACGTGCAGATGGGTTAGTGGGAAGCAAGAACCGAAAGCCTTGGTCTTCATGTGCCATGGTTACGCCATGGAATGCAGCGTCACGATGAAGAGTGCGTTATAATAATAATAATAATAATAATCAGCGTCTGAATCTGAGATGAAGAACTTGATTGATCGGATAATTAATGAGGAAATCTGAAACTAATGATGGATGAAATGATGGGCACAGGCGCAGGACGGAGGCTGGCGGAGGCAGGATTTGAAGTGTATGGGATGGATTATGAAGGGCATGGGAAATCGGAAGGGCTGGCTGGTCTTGTGAGTAATTTCAATGACGTTATCCAAGATTGCTCCAACTTCTTCTCCTCAATTTGCGGTCAGTTTTAATTTCTCTGCTTCCTTATCTTTTCTTCTTCCTCCATCTCAGTTATTTTCATTATTATCTTGTTGATATTAATTAAATTCCTCCGATTTTGAATGGCTTTCAAGCACGATGAGGTGTGCGGACTTGTCGTTTGGAACAATTCCAAGCTTTGATTTGTTTCCTTTTTCTTATTTCTTTATTTGGCACTACTCTATTTTTATTTATAAGAGAAACTATCATTTTTTTACTTATTTTTTATATAAGTAAAATCACATATTTTGATAAGAATTTATTATACATTTTTTAAATCACCCTTTATAATTTACATTAATAAAAAATAATTAATACATACTCATATTGATTAACATGGGGTATTTTAATCTAATTTTTTTATTTTTAAATATAATTACTATGGTTAAATAAGTTTTTTAAATTGTATGATATAATTTTTTCTGTTATATATCTGTTATATATAGAAATGGAGAGAATAACATTCACCACAAACAAACAAAACCTAAGACAAGTCAAGCTTATGGCCTTTACTCACTTCGTTTTTATATATAAAGTATTTTTAATTAAATCTCTAGTACTAATAAAAATTTATTATTTAGTTGAACTTACATAAAAACATAATAATTTTTTAATTTTACTCCTAATAATATAATAATTAATATTATGATAGTACAAAAAATATATAATTAATGATTTATTTTATTTTGTAAGACAATGATAAAATTATTTAATTATTTAAAAATATTATTTTTTTTATGTTTAAGGATAATATAAATTTTTTAAAAATATATTTTATACAAGGAGGGAGGGAGTACTTTACTACACTGCCCACAAATTTGAATCCAATTCCACAGCAGCTCCACTTTTTTCACTTCACGCTATCCACTTGTCCATCGCGCGTCCTGCAAATTCTTGTGATCTTGACTTTCTTTTTTTTGACCTGATCATCTTGACTCTTCAATTCTCAAATTTTGATTTCATTTATGGAATAAAATTTACAAAAAAAAAATACAAAATATCATCAAATTATTTACTGTCTTCTTACTGTTTATGTCAGCAAAAAAGTTTTGGGATAGCGTCGAAGGAGAGTAAAAACTCCTGTATACACATGTATGAGTGGGGGTTCATGTTCTGATGTGCTTCCTCCAGTTTCTGGTGCAATATAAATTTATTTTTTTTATTTAGATATAAATAAAATTAAAAAAGTATTATATTTTTAAATAAAATTAGTAACTTAACTATCCTTCCTTAATTTTGGTGAGATAGTTAGTCTTATAATAGGAGGGAGTTAGTATTTAAAAATTATTTTATTATTAATACATGAATAAATTGCATAATTTTTAGATCAATATATATGCCCCTATGCGGAAGACATTTTGTAAGTAGTAATCGTAAAGTAATTTGTTTTGGGGCCTCCCTACAAATATACTGAGTCGCTCTACTTTTATTAAAATATTATATTTTTATACATAATGCGTCTATCTACCATTTTGTGCAATCAGATCAAATTTGAGAATATATTTTACTATTTTTAATGTCAATATAAATGCAAATTTCTTATATTTTCCCAAAATCAAAGTCTTTCTAATTTTGAAAAAATTTACTCGAACTTTGTTAGAACTACACCCACTTTCCCATCTGCTGTAGGAAATAAAAGAGTTTATATAATTTTAATAAACTCCAGAAAAATCTTAACATTTAATAATATTATAGTAGGACATATTTTCAAGTCAAGTTTACATAAATCACTAAGTTTTTGGAGGGATCTATTTGAATTATTAATTTTTATTCACAAAAACGGTAAGCGTGAGTAACTTTTAAAAAATATATGATAAATCTTTACAGTATGAACAAAATTAAGAGCTAGTCCACATAATTTAATATTCTCAACACATAATAAGTTTCATATTTCAAATAACTAGTTTATCAATTTTTAAAAAAATCACAAAATTATTTATTTGAAATTAAAAGGAATCAAATTCGACTATTTATGACTGAACTAGTTATTATTTCAGTGATTAGAAAAATCCTACAGAAATGTTTAACTCTATAATGTCCCTTCAGTTACTTCCTGGGGACTTGCGATAAAATTGGAGTGACTGCAATTTTACAAGAGTGAAGAAAATACATGTTGAATTGAAATTGATTAAGATGATATATATGAATTAAAAGGAAAAAAAAAAGCAGAGAGATGTAGAAATTTGGATAGTGAGATTGATATTATGGAATGTGAAAATAGAGAAGGAAGAGAACAAGAAGAAGATGAGGTACCTGCTTGGGGAATCCATGGGAGGAGCTGTGGCTCTCTTATTGCACAGAAAAAAGCCTCACTTCTGGGATGGTGCTATCTTGGTTGCTCCCATGTGCAAGGTTCGTTTGTTTCTCTCTTTTCTTTTGTTTTTATTCCCATTCTCCTTTCAATTGTAAATTTAAATATTTTTCTCAATTCTCCCACTTATTAATTATCCCCTGCCCCATACTTTTTTTGTTTCTTTCTTTTCCTAGTTTTTTTATAAAAATTATAACAAAAATTTATATATATGATCTGGTCTGCTCCCTCATAAAACTGTGACTTGTCATGGTGTATTCTAGTTTTTTTTCCTCCATTTTTATGTGACCAACATCAAGCACGTGAAAACTATTTTTCACAAGAAAGAAAAAACAGAATTTCTCAAGATTCATATCTCCTGATAATTCAAACTTTCATAGCTAGCCTGTACTTCTGGCCAAAAAAAAAAACCTGTACGTGATGTATTCATTATTAGTTTCTCAAGTTATTTTAAGTAATTATGTAATATTCTTTTTACAAATCCAGCAATAACTTTTCTAATTTATATCCTCTGTACATCACTATAGATGAGCAAATTATGCACATTATCTCTTCGTGATATACATGTTGATTTTTTTTTTCTTTTTAATTGAGCAACGTTTGTCTTTAGTCACCTAACCTTACATCACGATTCACGATCCTTTATATTAAAATAAAATATTCAGTAGTTCTAAGCGATGATGTATTGTATTAAATTATTTATTATTTCCCTTAACTGCTTTCCTTGGAAGATGCTTGCATCAGTCAATGAAAATAGACAATGCAATGTACTTGCGTAATAAAGTAGAATGCACGATGTTGATGGCTCGATAATGATTGAAGATCGATCACGATCTGGTTTCCTGAATCGCATGCATAAATCAAAGTAGATGGAAATAGCAATCAGCGTGATTAACTATTCTATTGATGTGATGATTTTAAAGTATATTGACTCAAAATGCCAGCATTAATTCAAAGTTTTAGGTAAATTGCTTTTTAGGGTAATACTTTGATCATAATATAAAATATCATTTAAAAATTTATCTCATTCAAAATATAAAGTATTGAATAGCTTTTATATTTATTTTTTCAATCATGTTTCTACTTTATTTATTATTTTTTTAAAACATCATGTATTATAATTTTAATTATTATTATTAAGAATTTTATATAAGATATTTAATAAGGGTATAACTAAAAAGATATAAATTTTTTTAAAAATTTAAGATTTCAATTAATATTATTTATAAATTATAAATTAATTAATTATGACTTATATTAATTTGAAAGGAGTATTCCTCTAATCCAAGATATAAGGCAGAGAGGGAGAGATTTAATATATATATTTATAAAGTATGTCATTGGCTTTTTATCATAATTTTTTCATTTTACCCCACTTTAAACATTGATGGGAGCAAGTATTTTGTTATTAAAATATGCATGTTAAATAGTGATAAAATTAAAAATTTATTAAATTTTTAAAGATAATTAATGCATTTTAAAATTTTTTAATTATTTTTATGATAAAATATATTGAAGATAACTTATAAATAAAAATAAAAAAAAATGTAATGTCATTTGCTTTAAGAATGTCAAGTTTCTGTTACCAAGTCTCCTCAATTATTGGTGGGGAAATTAATATGATTTGGTATTATGAAGAATTATGAGTGAAGTTAGATGATAATTTGACTCAATTGATGGTGCAGATAGTGGATGAAATGAAACCGAGCCCTCTGGTGATCAACATGTTGACGGCTCTAAGCAAGATCATCCCCACGTGGAAACTAGTGCCAACCAAGGACATAGTTGACCTTGCCTTCAAGGATTCCGAAGTTAGAAAACAGGTATGCTTGCTCGCTTTTTCAAATATAAAATAGATAAATTTTAATCAATTCACTATGCTTTAAAAAATTAATTATTGTAATAATTATGTTTGAAATTGTTAAATTTTCATCTAAAATATTATAATTATTTCTTGAAAATTATTGTTTTGTTTATAAAAACAAGAAATTGTGTGAAAGTTTCGCTTGTATTAAAAAATGGAGAGAATATATTCTGGCTCACTAACAGATATTGGTCTTATCGAAAAAGTTTATGGTTGCTTAAGTATAAAATTTTGAGTTTGATTTTGTGTGAATGTAGAAACCGTCTCCTAATTGAACCCAGCAGCACTTAAATCTCATCCTAACAGTATGAGGTGGTTAAAAGAATATTTCAATTTTTTTCATAAAATTTTCAAATTAGTCCTAAATCTCTTGAGATCTTTACCTCTAAGCCAAATTTGGATAACTTAAACGAAATTTTTTTTTATCTGAGATCTATTTGTAATTTTTCTTGTAATTGTAATCTGATGATGGAATAGAAGTCAAAAAATGCGTTGACCATTTAGGTTTAATTATTTGACAAAATTTCAAAAGGGATTAATTATTTTTGCTAAGTGGATAAATAAACATGCACTAATCGAGAAGTACTTGTTAACTACTCTCTCCGGTTTTATTTATAAGTCATTTCTATTAATTTCATCAATACCAATATAATAAAAGTATAAGGAATAAAAGTAAATAAAATTTCAAACATAACTATCAAATAAAAAGTAAAAAATAAGTCAATCATATAATATTAATTTTTTATCTTTTTCTTTCTTTCTTTTTAAGATTAATTTAAAAATTTTAATTTAAAATAAAATAATTTCATTAACAAATGGCTTATAAAGTAAATCAGATTATATTTTTAAAAAATAATGTATATACTAAATTGGAAGAATATTGTATGATGAAATTGCAGATTAGAAATAACCCACTGTGCTACAAAGGACGACCTAGATTGAAAACAGGACACGAACTTTACAGAGTCAGTACAGAACTAGAGCAAACGTTGCGCGAGGTAATAATAATGTACATTTATTTAAAAAAAAAAATCGGGAGGTAGTACTGTATTATATACCCATTCTTCAATTTTAGAGCTAGAGGCAAGAGTTAACCCATGGATTGTGGGCTACAAGTTGGAAAGTTTTTTTTTTTCCTTTTTGGGCCACAAAGGGGGATTCATTCAGAAAGCCTCAAACAGAGCAACAACGCTAAGTCTAGAAATTAGTAAAAGAAACGAAAGGGTGGAAAGCAACGGACAAATGCATTGAGTTAGATTCCTGGTTATAAGAAGCAAGTGATCAAGGAGAAAAATCTGTGGGCATGGGGAATTGCAGCCCAAAAAAAGCCTATCTTATGGCGAATTTTTCCAACCCATGTTATTTGTGTGTGTACTTGTACAAAATAAAAAGGTTTGTTTGGATGTGTGTATATAGGTTTCACTACCGTTCTTGGTTCTACACGGTGAAGATGACAAAGTGACAGATAAGTCAGTAAGCATTCAGCTGCATAAGGTGGCTTCAAGCAAAGATAAGACGCTAAAGTTGTACCCGGGAATGTGGCACTCTCTTCTCATCGGAGAGCCGCCGGAGAACTTGGACACCATTTACAAAGACATCGTGGATTGGCTTAACGACAAATGCGTGCATGGAAATACCAGATTAGAGAGCGAGCTTAAGAACCAGAACGAGGATAAATAATCCAACAGCTAATGCTAAGACAACGTACAGCATAACAAGCCAGTATTTTTATTTCTATTTGAATTAAGGTTTTTATTAACTTATATGCACCTACCATATCGTGTAATTTATAGTGGGCGTCTGTACACTTGGTTTTTGAAGAATTAACATTTGGTGTATGTGTGTTGCTTTGCTGATAGCCTATGAAAGCGTTTCAAGTACCAAGAGTCATGACCGGCTACCAAAAAGGACCATTGTTTTAAAACTTTAAAAAAAAAAAGAAGAAGAAGCATGAGCCTTAGCCTCAAGAGATGGTTTGGGTCATGAGTTTGTAGTTTAATTAGTTCAGTTTGGTCAAAAACTTGTTAGTTGCTACAGAACCAAATAAAACTAGTGTTTTGAGTCAAATGGCGGTGGGTCTAGGTTTGGTTGTGTTTCTTATTTAGCTAAAGTCTTGTTTGATTTTTATAAAGGACGAGAATGTAATGTATTAAAAAAATAAAGTAAATCACTCTCTCCTTTCATGATAAGCATAATAATACTCAATATTATATACTACAAATGTAGGAATCATCATATCATTTAAAAATCTTATAAATTATGACTTTCAATCCCATGAATAAAATTATCCTTTTCCCTTATATAAATATAGTTCATCTATTCTCTTTTACATTTTGATCATCTTATTTTTACATTTATTCTTTCAATCAATTCCATTTCATTTGTTTATAGCAACTAATATAACATCCCAAAATTTAAGTAGGGTGTGGTTAAAAGGGTTTAACAAGTGTTTTTGATTGTAGCTTCAATCTTGGATTTAGGTCTGAAGTAACATTGGGTCACCTAAATCTCCAAAATGGAAGAAAATCATAGGAAAATAGTTTTTTGCCACATGTCACGGCATGTACCACCTCCACCGTAGCGTATATGTGGCAATTTGCAAATAATTGGCCTCTCTATGTCAAATTTCTACATGAGTATGAGTAAGCCTTTATCAGTTTAAAAATCAAAAGGAGAAAAAGGAAGAAAATGAAGGGCACGCCATTTGCCCTACTAAGGTTTGAGATTGTGGACTGTTAATAGAGTTAATAGGTGGGGGTGTGTGAACCCATTGACCTAAATAGAGTTAATGGGTGGGTAGCGGTGTGCGCACTCACACACATTGTGAGAGTTTACTTAGGGAGAAGAGTAGTGATAAAATCCACATAGTATTAGCTATTTATCATTAGAATCAAAAGCTAGCCAGGTTGCCAATCATTGAAATCAAGAGGTAGTCATTGTCCTGTTTATTGAGAGATTGTCCTATTTGTTCTTTGAAGGACTCGAATCTAACAAGCCTCTATTGATTCATGAAGAGGCTAGATTAGGGTGCAATACCTCATAGTTGTTAATATTGAGGGAAACCGTGATTCACAAGTAAATATAGTAGCTTTAGTTAGGCAACTTCTTATAAGTAGAAGGTTTGGGTAGTTCGAGCTCATGGACATAGCCCGCTAAATAACCATTGATTTTATGTCGGAAATATCAAGAAGGTATAAAGATGATATTTATCATGCATTTAATTATATGATCACATGATTGTTGTTATTGTTGTCTGTATAATTGTGATAGGGATACATGATTGTTAGTATTATGTTCCCTCTTATGATTTGATACATATTGCAAATGTGAAATAAAACTTGAAAATGCACTTAGCTACATGATTGTTAGTTTTGGAGCTTGGGATAATATGTGAAATGAACCTAAACTTGTGAAAGTCTTATTTTTGCACTACATCACTATAATTGATTGACATGTATTTTTAGGCTAAATTAACTTTAGTTACTGAGTGGTTATACTTATCCCATCTCTTCAATATTACAGGGGCTAATTCATCAGATCAAGATAAGGAAAAACAACTTGAGGTATATGATTCTGATAAATCCTAATTGTAAGCCCCTTGTAGATTTAATTATGTGTATTTTGATAGATTATTTGCTAACTGAGAGTGTATAGTTTCAATTACTTGCACTATTTGATGTTTTGAATTAATTGGTAAATTTTGGGCCCTAGGATATTTGTACGCTAAATCTAAATATTTAAACAGGATTGAAATACTAATGCAACTATGATATTTGCCTTGTGGACCATTGTAAAGGAGAATTATGATTATCATGTTGATTTGGCTTCCCATTGTGTTTTTGTAATCAAGGGTTTGAGCAATGAAATGTGTGATATATGTGCAATTGAATTGTTTGGTGTATTACATGAGTATTTTGTAGTTCATTAAGTGTGATTTAATGTATATGTGTAAGCTTTGGCACTTGGAAATGAAATAATGAAGCACCCTAATGTGTTTTTCAGTTCAAAAAGAGTGTTTTTACAAATGGGTGCCTAACTTTTTAATGAGATATGGTATGTGAGTGAAACAAGTGGCATTAGCTAGAGCTTAGAAAAAGCTTTCTATAAACATCTAAATCACCTCAATTGGATGTCAGATGGAAAAATGAGGCACATTGAAAGTTTGCCCTAGGAGCTATTTGTTGTCAAATTCATGTAATGTACTATGGTGCTTGACACAGAAACAAATATGCCATAGCACACATGTGCAATTTTGCTTAAATGATGTTCTTCTACTTTCATACAAATGCTTTGATGCAATTCAGAATCCCATGCTTATGTAAATATGTAGTGCTTTGATTTTAGTTTATGAAATGCTTTTTTTTTAACATTTTAAAGTTTTGAAAAATTGGAATGCCATTTATATTGATTTTACAAACTTGATAATCTATTCGAGTTAACCTTGTGATTATCATGAATTTAGAATTAATTGTGATTTATAAAGGGGGACTTTACAACTAAAAGAGACCTAAGTTCTTTCGATCACTTTCTTATTTATCTACAATCCCATGCTTATGTAAATATGTAGTGCTTTGATTTTAGTTTATGAAATGCTTTTTTTTTAACATTTAAAGTTTTGAAAAATTGGAATGCCATTTAATTGATTTTACAAACTTGATAATCTATTCGAGTTAACCTTTGATTATCATGAATTTAGAATTAATTGTGATTATAAAGGGGGACTTTACAACTAAAAGAGACCTAAGTTCTTTCGATCACTTTCTTTATTTATCTGCAATCATCATTCTCTTCTAGGAACTTAAATATATACTATCTTATCCTGGCATGCACCTGGTCAGGACTTGTGATATTTTTATGTGATACTTCCTTCTATCTAATTATAGGAAGTTAATCAACTTTACAGTTCCTAAAGAATGATAATCAATATCCATGAACTTGAAAAAACATTTGACTTTTCAATTTTTACCTTCATTGACATTAATGACCACATAAAGAGAGCATAAGAATTACAACATGGTACAATTAAGGAGAGATAATACTCTTTCTATTTCAAATTATAATACACTTTTAGATAAAATTTATACACCAATAAATATTATTAAATATACTTAATAACATTATTTTTTTAAAATAAAAATATAAATTTTTAAAAATACCCTTCACTTTATATATTGAAAAGAGAGGGACAAAAATTAAAGAAAGAGAAAGAAATGATAACATTGGAATGAGCCTATTTAATAATTTTTTTAAAGTATCTTATATCTTGAAAAGCCAAATATCTAACAAAAATGTTATATTTTAAGATGCTGAATCCTTTAAAAATATTTTATAATTTGAGATAGACAAAGTCTTTAGAAAAAAGTTAACTATTACATATGTGCCTTATATTTAAAATTGAATAAGATTTTTGAACAATATCTTATAATTAAGATTGGAAGGAGCAATTAATTGAATTTTTATAAAAAAAAAAGTTTGGGGGAGTTATTTTTTTTATTATTAAGAAATTTAAGTGAATTTGGCTTTGGGACTCATTAAGGTTAAGGTATGCTTCAAACTTAATGATCATTTATAGAGGTACTTATAAATTGTTTATTAATAAGATCCTCACATTAGTAATAAGATTTGATATCATGACTTTGTGAATTATAAATTAAATTTTTATTAATTGGACTAACATTTGTTAGTAAAAGGATTTAGTTAAAACGGGCTATGATTAAAAAACAATATTTTTAATGGGCTAGAGCAAAGTAGGTGATTCAGCCCGGGAGAAGAAGAACTTGGACTTAGTCAATGGATTTTGAATGACCCCTTCGTTGGTTGATGAGGTTTTGGCACAAGTATAATTTGATGATTATTTCAACATGGGAATACATTTCATTACTAAAATATACTGTGATATGATTCGACTACCAACCTAAAAAAAAAAAACAAGGAATTAATTTTGGAGACTTAGACCAGGATAATGAATGCTGAGCAATGTACTAGATAGAAGTTACCTCTCCCATGGCTTGGTGACGTCGAGAGTATACATATATATACATATATATATATATATATTTCATTGCAATTATATAAACACAGCTTCAAATGTACATTGTTTTCCAAGTAGTAAAATGAAGATTGAGGAAGTAAAAGCTGCCGTTAGTTTGGCGCGCGGCTTCATCTTTTTCGGTTTGCGTTGCTGCTTCTTCATCGTGAATATACATCACTATGCAGATCTGGTGATGAGTTCTTACAAAGAGCAAAACTTTGAACAAGCACGAGTGGGGCTCGCTGGTCTTCCAATGATTGCAATGCAATTGTACGGCACTGTTGTTTCCCTTTACATTTTACGATTTGCAGCTCGTTATAAAAGAAGCGTCATCGATGGGCAGCCTCAAAAGGTTCAACACAACCAAAATCAATGTTATTCTAATCCGTGGACGGGCGCATCATTGTTCATGGCTGCATGTGAGTTTTGGCCCTGAGTTTTGTGTCACTCGTGTTCTTTATAGATGGCACAGAGGATTTTGCAAGTTCTATATGCAATACTAGTACTAGGAGTGGTCGATGAATCCTTGGGAAGGGAATATTTCTTCTTGTTTTCTGTTCGTCTGTGATATTCTTGTCCTCTCCTTCTCTGTATCAGTATCATGTCTTTGTATCAGAATAATCGCCGGTGGCATTAGCAGCAACAAGGTTGGCCTCATCGACCTTTCTAGTGACAGAGTGAAACACGTCATTATTACTACACTGATTCCCTTCATGACTTCCGGTGCCATCATTTCTATATCCATGCGGGTGATTTATAAACGGTGCGGATTCTCTAATCGGTTGACTTCACCAAGAGCACTATCTT